ATCTTGCAGCCTAACTTAGCGGATGGCGTTTGCTCAGTTGTTAGTTGTGATTTCATTAGCGATTAATCTGCTGATTAATTATGTAGTATATAAACCATCGTGAAAATCGTGAAAAATGCATCCAAGGTGACATCTTAATTTTTTTTGTTTGACCAACGATATAAGTTATCCAGTTTACGATTATAAATAACTGAAGAAACCAGAAAATCAATTTTGTTTTGCCTACATTGTTGGGTTATCAAAATAGTTGAAGGCTAATTTTCTGAAGAAGAAACTTTTTTGTTGCAGTTTTAGTCCTGACAACTGAATTAAATAGATAACAACTGAGCAAACAAAAAGCTATTAAGTGGACCGTAACTTTGATTTTTCTTTGCTAGAATAACACTGACTAGTATTAAGGATTCCATGTCAACATCCTTTCCTTCCAATATGTCTAACACAGGCGTCAGTAAACAGCTGGTGGCGACGCAGGAGCCATATCTGTCAGTCGTATTCGTACCTGTGCTGTCCCAGATATATCTGGCCTCAAGGCCCAGGGCTCTGCAGCACAATGTGAAACAATTAGCCCACTCCCCACAGCGCCCCCTCCTGGTTTCAAGAAGCTTCTCAGGATTGTTATACCTGGTATAAACAATAAAGAGGAAAGAAGCATGCACATCAGTTAGAGCAATCCATTATTCTCCATGTGCTTTGTGGTCAAATTCAGGAAAAAAGTTTTACTTCTTAGCATTTTAAAATGTGTTAAGTTAGTAATATAACAACAAAAGTGGTCAGGGTGGTCAGCGTTTATTGGACACACCGTGTTAGATCCGTGTTCTCACCACAGCGGAAGTGTTTGTTGATGAATCTGACGATCACAACAACAAATTTGATGATTAATAGGCTGTATGTATGTAGACATGACCATTCACAGCAGTTCCAATGAGCTTCTCTGAGAGTTCTGCTTCCACTTCGCATCTGGTGTGCACAGCTAGACGGACTGACATGGAAGCCATAATGAAAAGGGAGCATTTTTCCATTCCGCGTCTGGTAAACCAGCTTTGAAGTGTCATACCGTGGAGCTTATCGCACATTTGACTTTCAAACAAAATACACAACTAGGTTTATATAGGCAATGTAAGTGAGGAGCATAAACACTAAACTTTCCAGAACAACATAAATTATTTCCAGAATCACAAACTGATCCTAAACTCCCAAACTGCGGTATTAACAGGGTTTCTGCAGCTTTCCATAAGTTAAACGTCTCAGTGAGCTAAAACATCACGCAAGCAGAGACACACACAGACCTGGGGAATCTGGTGGAGAGCTGGCAGCTCCGACAGTAGTGGTCCTCCACTCGCTGGGCTCCCCAGCGGAGGTCATCGGTGGTGGGACTGAGGGAGCGGGCGTTCTGGGTCTGGCCTCCACAGCTGCTGCATGGCAGACAGTTCACCCAGGAGAAGAAGTCCTGTTTGAACCATCTGAGCAACTCCAGCACCAGGAAGTCTTCTTTTCCGAGTTTACATTCTACAAACAGGAGAGCAAGTCAGTCAGTCCCTCTGAATCGCTGTTTGAAGGAATACATACAGTACGATCCAGATATACAAGTGATTCTTTTGAATGAATGAGAGGACTTCACCTGGGTCAGCCTCTTTCACCTCCTTTAGCTTGTGTTCAGCAGCAGAGGACAGCTGCTGGTGAGGGATGCAGCTCCTGGCTTTCTGCTGCAGCTCAGGGTTTTCATACAGCATCACATGTTGAAAGTTTGACTGGAGAGTGACAAAGAAGCTCATACTGCTCTCCTGACAAGAAAGACAAGAAAACATCCAGATCACAAACACACCAACAGAAACAGAGTGACAATTTATCATGAATGAAGGAGGTATATGTAGATGTTCTTCAGAGATGTAAGGGGCTGTATTAAAATAATTGGGGTGGTGTGGAGGGGAAGAATGTTATACTTTCAAAAAAACCATAGCCTTCCCTAGGATTATTATTTTCTTTGTTCCTCATTTTATTTTGTAGTTAATCTGGCAAGGATCAAACGAATTCTGGGATCAGAAAAAAAGACCCTAGCTTCAGCAAAAACATAAACAGATAAGCCTGCCACTTTTTAAGACTCCCCTTGCCCCTAATAATTCTCCTACAGTCCCTAAAGATACAAAAGACTGAATTAGACTTTTGTTTTTTTAGCTACTTCTTATCACATATGAAAACATCAATAGCAATGTAAACTAAAACCAGCCCATTCAATATTTTTCATGTCTTGTTCTAAATACCGATGGTGACATTATAAGTGTTGCATATACACAAATCAGCGCTTTGAGGTGCTCTAAAGCCATGAGGATACCCCCCTCTTCATCAAGCAAAGTGGCATTAATTAAATGAAGATGAGCTGTCTATCATAAGACTTGTAGAAACAACCTAGTCCATGGGGACCCTGCTACAATGTATAGAAAAAAACTTCAGACATGTTCAATCACAATTTCTGCCATTTAAACCAGTGATGAGCACAGCTTTACCAAGGACGATGGCTGTGGTGGAGGTGGTGAAACCGGCCGGATGGAGGCAGCAGCAGAGCTCTCTGGAGCTGAGGCTGAGGCTGAGGCTGAGGCCGCAGCAGCCTGAACAGCGGGTTGGACGGGCTGTCCTCCGCGCAGCCTCTGATCCCTCTCTGCTGCTATGGATTCCCTGATGAGCCTGAGCTGTTCCACTGATGCAGACTTGGGGAACACCAGGTGGGTCTCAGCCTGAAAAAATATTTACTTACAGTCAGGCAGATGAAAGGTGACCAAGGAAATGAAGCATGTGGTGCAATAAGAATACTGGCTGTAACACATTATAGTAGACACCTGGCAGTTACTTATGAATTGTACCTCCTCAAATCCCATTTCAAAGAGGCATTCCACAGCACCTTTGATGGGCAACAGCTTGGTGGAGAAAGTAGGATTCCCTATGCGGATCGATCTGTACTTTTCCTCACTGGGATATCTGTTAGGAGGTGATATGAGGAAGTAGAGTTGTGTTTGAGGCTTTGCGGACATATTTGCATATGAGAAATGAGTTATGGGTTCATAACGAGAACAAGAGATATACACACACATATAATAAATTGGCAACATAAATGTAACTAGTATTGTTGTTCATTGTACACGTGGCAGTAATATACTTAAGCAATTCATATGTGGGCAGTTTCTTACACAACATATTTGTTTGTGTGAACCTTAACTCCGCTCAAAAACACAAACACGATAACTTTAACTACTTAACTCCACAGCGTATTTCAGAGACAATGTGAGGTGAGGTAGAGGGGAACAAAGACAGTTTCACTATTTAAAACTGCTTCCTGGTAAGTCACTCATATGCCGAATTAACCACCACACCGTCGTGATTAATACTAAAGCTATGCTACTGTATGGGCGTGTGCTGAGTCATAAGGAAAAACTACAATGCAAGACTTTTTAAACAGACTGGTTAGACGTTGTGTTAACGCCAACAGCGGCGTATACCGGGGCTCACGGTAAAGGTCAGCTTTACCGGCGGAGTGACATGATGTTTGCGACGTTGGGTGCATTTGTAAACAGAAGATATATTGTAACGTTAATAATAATACAACCTCTGCTTAGCCAGAACAGCACCTCTCAACACACCGCTGCTGTGCTGCGGTCCATTCTCAACCTTACCTTAAAATGTTGTCCGCGTATGTAAGTAATAACTTGGCGGCGTCTAAAAACACTCCATTAGAATTCTCACATAACGTTGTGACTGCTGGTGACACCGCCATACTGATCTTTCTTGTACCAACAGGAACTGTCTATGCAGTTTACAGTAGCTAATGCTAACAGTGTAATTTCACCTACTAACGTTAGGTGTTTAGGGTCCTGAGTGTAGCTGACCTATTAACGCCTGTATACGCGTTCGCAGCATTAAACATATTGTACATAGCTTCTTGTATTTCGCTATAATTGTGTATGCCGTATAAAGCACTTTTATCTTTTTTCTTGCTCTGTCGGTTTAATAAATTTTTTTAAATTGTATATTTACTTGTAAACTAGACTGGCGTTCATGATTGCTACCTACAGTGTGTGCATGCAGATTCAATGATGGACTCGCGTTCTCGTTTCGTTAAAGCTTTTACAACTGACAGCTAACTTGTGCTCGACCCAGTAAGTGACAAACTTACTAAGGAAACTTAAAAGTTCAGTTTCGTATGGCGGACATTTCGCCTTGGGTTTTGTACATTTATTCCTTTGATATTATTCACCAAATTACAAGCTAGCTGTGTCCAATTTGACAGCGAATCCAGCATGTGTGCTTTATCACTGTCCTGCTGGACTCAACTCCAGCTGAGAACACAGAGCATAAGGGCACTCCTTCAAAAGAGCGGCTGTGTCTGTCCTCACCAAGATTCCAGACAGCTCAGCTCAGGAAAGCGCCAGAGGAGGGTTGTTATTACTGGTATAGGGTTAGTGTGTCCTCTGGGCACAGGGACTGCACTACCCTGGGACCGCCTGATTAAAAGCCACAGTGGAATTGTTGCCCTTGACTCAGAGGGGTACAAGACAGTGCCCTGTAAAGTGGCAGCGCTGGTACCCAGAGGGAATGAACAGGGTCAGTTTAGGGAGGAGAGGTTTGCCTCTCGTGGGGAGATCAGCAGCATGTCACCGGCCACTGTGATGGCCCTCGGAGCTGCTCAGCTGGCTCTGGAGGACTCGGAGTGGTACCCCAAAACCACAGAGGAACAGCTCAACACTGGGGTGGCTGTGGGCATGGGCATGGTGTCACTGGATGAAATCGCTCGCACCGCCACTGCCTTCCAAGAAAAGGGCTACAACAAAGTCAGCCCCTTCTTTGTGCCCCGTATCCTTGTCAACATGGCTGCTGGGCACATAAGTATCAAACACAAACTGAAGGGTCCCAACCATGCTGTGTCCACAGCGTGCACCACAGGCGCACATGCAGTAGGCGATGCCTCCAGGTTCATCGCCCACGGGGATGCAGTTGCTATGGTTACAGGGGGAACAGAATCCTGCGTGGGGCCTCTGTCGATGGCCGGTTTTGCCAGAGCACGGGCCCTCGCCACCAAATGGAATGACAACCCCACGCAGGCCTCGAGGCCCTTTCACCCAGAGAGAGAGGGCTTTGTGATGGGCGAAGGAGCGGCGGTGCTCCTGCTGGAGGAGCTGGAGCACGCAGTGAACAGAGGAGTCAGGATCTACGCAGAGGTCCTGGGATATGGACTCTCAGGGGATGCCAGCCACATCACGGCACCCACTGCAGATGGAGATGGAGCATTCAGGTGACTCATTTGAAAGCAGACACTTTCTGTTTCGGTATTTTGCTCATATTTGACATTTCCAAATAGCAACCAAAATGCCATTAAATATTCCACAAAACTACTGTTACTCATTAAGCAGTGGTTCCCCAGCTGGGGATCAGGGCTCTTGAGTACTTAGAGCGGTCACAAGATGATTAACAGAATAGGAAAGCAGTCAAACACATCTCTGCCATACACAATTATGTTTATTTATTCACGCTTTCCTCCAATATCTACTTTTATCTCATTCAGTTTTTCTTTTTTTTTTACATTTTACAAAACATTATACAAAAAGACAGTAAAAACAGTAAAACTTTTACTGGACATACAGTATTCAGCTATATAAACAGAACAGGCAGTCAAAATGCACAACCCTGGCACCCCAATATTCCTTTATATTCTGTAAACTAGTTTCCCAAACTTTTTACTGTTTCACCCTTAATCTGTGTCAGAATAAGCTGCCAGATTTAGCTGGCTTTGCTTTTGGACGTTATTTACTCCATCATGGGTTTAAGCTGCGCTGTACACTCTGGTCTATATGGGATCTCAGTTTCATAAAATAAGCCTGCCTGCTACAATAAAACTTGTCGCTGTAAGCCAAACTCTGCTATAGTCAGCCCTGGTGGCAAGAGAGATTTACCCCCTAACAACAATTTATACCTCTTTATACCAATACCAAGAGACAACCCCACAGAACGTGTAGTATTTTCCCACTTTGATCTTGTAAAATAAGCAGCATTGGAAATGAGCAAACTGAGCCAAAACAACAAAAGGAAGATCAAAGTTGTAATGAACTGAAACTATGCTTGAACTGTCTGATCACTGTCTTTACAGATGCATGTCTGCTGCCCTCAGAGATGCTGGCGTCTCACCGGCAGATGTGACTTACGTGAACGCCCACGCCACATCCACACCTTTGGGGGACGCAGCTGAAAACGCCGCCATCAAGAGGCTCTTCCAGCCAAACCTTGAGAGCCTGGCTGTCTCCTCCACCAAGGGAGCCACGGGCCATCTGCTGGGGGCCGCAGGGGCCCTGGAGGCAGCGTTCACCGCTTTGGCCTGCTACCACAGGGTCCTGCCCCCGACCCTCAACCTGGACCGCACAGAGCCAGAGTTCGACCTGAATTACGTTCCCTGCACAGCGCAGCCGTGGCAGACTCACGGCCGACGGGTCGCCCTCACAAACTCATTTGGGTTTGGTGGCACCAACGCCTCACTGTGTCTCGCCAGCATTTGATGAGCGGCTTGTTTTCTGAGTTCCACTCACTGAATATTTTTCAGTAGAATTGATTAGCGCTGCGGCTGTTTGTTTGTGGGAAGTTCTTATTAACTGATTTATTTAAAGCAGCTACAAGAAACTTTCATTTTGTGTTGATTCTGACAGCCCCTGTGGACAGAAGTGGTAGTGTCTGCGTTGTTTCATCTGATTTCAATGAGAATTCAACCATATTTAAGAATCGCTACATAGAAATACATACTCGCTGATGGTCTTTTTTGTTTATATAGGTCATATAGAGGTATCGGTATGAAATTGACCCTTCCTAAATCCTGCCCTTTTTTTGCTCTGTGCTCCAATAACAGTTGAGCAAGCCGTGGTCAGAACCTCTGTCAACTTTCTCCTTTTCTGTACTTAGCTATGCTATGTGCTAGGCTCATCTATGTTGAAAAGGAAATCCCATTTTAGCTAATATAAGTTAGCTAATATTAATTTAATTTAAACTTAAGTTAGCTAATATTACAAAAATACAAAAAGCTAGCTAAGCAATGATTTGTGTAAATTGTGTTTTGCTAACATTAGCGTTCAGATATAACTAGTTAGTTAATGATTGATTTAGATTAGTTGGGTAGTTAGCTAGGCAGGACCTAAGAAGGGTCAATCTGTTTCATTACTGGTTAAAAACAAGTATGTTTAAGGTAAAAATCAGAAATGTCAATGACCATCTATAAACTGCAAAGACTAAAAATTCTGATGAAAGCACTACATCATTGGAATCTTTTCAGATTTTAAAAAAATAAAAGCGAACACCAGAGTAAACTGTATTTCCTGCTCCTCCAGCCCTGACAGGCACTGCATCTTCGACACAGTAGTGGAAGAGGTTTTCAGATCCCATTCCTAAGTAAAAGTATCAGTAACACAAGGTTAAAAGTATGTTTTCATTAGTGTATAATCACCTGAATATAGGATTTGCTGTGTTTTGTTAACGTAGAATGAGCCATTTTTATCTACAGACACTGCGGGTTACCTACCATGGAGTACTAGATCGTGTCGTTCATATTTTTTACACGTTTCACAACCACTGTAGTTTCTCCTTTGTGCTTGGAAGGGGAGGTGAAAGTTACAGAATTGTGATCTACAACTACACCTCTAGATGCCCTAAGTCCTACACACTGGTTCTTTAAAGTATTAAGATTTAGCAAAGGAATTGCCACTGTAACTGATTTTTTTATGTCTGACATTATAAGGTTGTTAATGTTACAGCAGCATTTTACTGTTGGAGCTACTCGAGGTGGAGCTGGTTTTTAAATTCTTTATACAGTTAAGGAATTTAATCCTGTGGTTCCTAATATAGGGGTCCTGCCACCTGAAGGGGCCACAAGAGAAATCTGTGGAGTCGTGAGATGATAAATTAGGCAGGAAAGAAGAAATAGACAGTAGCGTATTATATTTTATGAGCAAATCATATGTTTTATGTAAAAACAGAATCTAAAAATATACTAAATAACTAACGTTAGTAACTGTAGTGGTTTAATGTAGAGGAATAAAAAGTATACAAACAATAAAAACAATATTTCCCTCTGAAATGTGGTGTAATAGTATAAAGTAGTATCAAAACTGCACTTAGGTACTGTGCTTTAGTAAATGTACTCAGTTGCTTTCCACCACTGCTTAGACATAAGATCCAAATGAAGATTTCCCCATCACTGTCAAACCCTCTGTTAGTCCAGCAGGGGGCGTTGGCTCACAGCAAGTCATACATGTTTCTCTCGTGTACATTTCTAGTACATTTTAGACATTCAACAGAAAAATAAACACCACCTCTTTTACAAGCATCCAAATAGACTGAGGTCAAAGGTCACGGCACAGTGCTGTTCATATTATCCATACCTGACCTTACAGCAACCATTAAATATCAAAGTGTTGGAAGAGGAAAGCAAGGTAGATATACGAGAGCCTTTTAGATCTATTAGAGTAAAGTGAGAGCAAATTATTCAATAGAAGAGGTTGATATATTAAGAAGGTAATAACTGTTAATTGCCTGCTGTTAGCTTCCTATATCCAAACAGTGCTTCTTTAAACATGAACTCAGACTCCAAAAAGCATGGGCAATTTATTGCAATTAGGAAATAAGTGGTGCTGTATTTGTGTGCAGCTGACTTTAATAACATCCTGAGGCAAGATCTCACAGTGGTGCCTTTTGTTTTTCAAGGCACTCCTCTGCTCTCCGACTCTGCTGTTCTCTGTGGATTCAGCCTGTTTTGGCCTTTTACTTCAGTGTTGAGAAAACAACAAGGGATCACCAGAGCAGAGGGGATGAGTAAGGCAGGTTAATTGGGGACAAAGTGCCATTATGTCAGGGTTGAAATGAAAGTAATAGGGTAAACAGTCCCCTAAGGGAAAAGGGACAGTTTTCCAAATTGTTACCTGTCTTCAGAATTTAAACGACAATTATTCTGCTCCTTTATACCGAGAAGAAACACACACAGCTCTTGTCTGGCATCCTCAGGAAGACATACAGTGACTCTGAAGGGCCACTTGATATGATGGCTGAGAACATATTGCATGTGTGGTTACATTTCCACATGATCATTTTAGAGGCTGGGAGAAAGGCTCAAATCATTTTACAGTAGATTATGTTCCACTGAGAGGAGGAGAGAAACTGGTTTTACAGTGTAATAACTGGGCCGACATTAGACAAAACTAAAGCCTCACTAGCGGCTCCTAATGACTGTAGTGCCTATTACAGCAC